GGTCCTTTCTGCTGGTGGAGCTGGCCTTGGTGCTGAAACCGCCATGGCTGCCCGAGCGAGTCGCGCACGCCTTGCCTGAACCCGTCCGAGCCAGAACATTTCCCAAGCCCAGGCACGAGGCCTGCTTGCCGGGGTGTTCTCCTGGGGAGGGGCTGCAGCTGCCTCGGATCCCCACGCCGCCACCGCCCTCTCCATCCCGCCACCCCCCCCGCCCGGGGGGGGGGGGGTGGGGGGATGGAGAGGGCGGTGGCGGCGTGGGGATCCGAGGCAGCTGCAGCCCCTCCCCAGGAGAACACCCCGGCAAGCAGGCCTCGTGCCTGGGCTTGGGAAATGTTCTGGCTCGGACGGGTTCAGGCAAGGCGTGCGCGACTCGCTCGGGCAGCCATGGCGGTTTCAGCACCAAGGCCAGCTCCACCAGCAGAAAGGACCGCGCGCCGGCCGGTGGCAAGCCAGAAAGCGAAGGCGTTCTCGCAGCTCCGTGGTGCGTGTGAAAAGGCGTGATTTCGGGCCTCTGAATAGGAGGCCCGAGCAAAAGCGAGCTTTTTGCCTCGTGTCTGCGAGGATCTGCACGTGTGGAATTACTTTTCCATCTGCAATGCAGCGTAGCAGAGAGAGCAGGAGACGGGAACCTGCTGAGTCCTCCTGAGTCCCAGTCAAGATTCTCTCTTTCCTGAACCCCATAATAGACTTTTTAAAAAAGAGAAAAATCTTTACCAGGAATCCCCGTCAGTAAAGGTGCTGCTTCTCAAGGACTTGACATTGAAAGGTCAGACATCCTGTATGTTGGGGGAGGAGGAATTCAAAAGGAGTGGCTGTTTTATGAAAACACAAATCACTCAGGGGGACTACAGTGGCTTAAGAAGGGGAAGGAAGGGAGTAAGTGGAAATCCAGCACAGCAGAGTGCACATTTACCAGAGTAATAATACCTGAAACAATGTTGAATCATTTTTATATCTGTCCCCACTGTTCCATTAATTCTATTCTATGCATCAATCACCTGCCCACATTTCTTAGTTTTAAACAAACACATTCCCCCATTTGGGCTGAACATTTTATCCATTCCCTGTGAAAGTTCCACTAAACTAAGTAGGTTTTTTTTGCAGAAGTTGTCTGCAGTACTTGAAAATGGTTATAGGTCAGTCAGCAATCCACACCCATTTGTTTCAGAGTCATTCCTTTGCATTTGGTGGGATCATTCTCTAGAGTTTTTAAAAAATGGAGTGGGTCATCAGTGATAATCTAAACATAAATCTGAAGAGGAGAAATGTGTCTAGGGAAAGTAGGGAAAGTGTTAAACTTGAAACACATTAAAAGGCTTGGTTAAAATGCTGAAATGCTTTAGGTGTTTTTATTGTGAAGTAAGTTCCACTGCATTCAAGGAGTCTCACTCCCAAACAAGCATACACCAGAATGCAGCTTTTTCCAAACTTCTGTTCCAGATTCAGTGGAGCCAAGAAATCTGCCATATGATTGTGAACTTTGCTAATTGCCCATTCCACTTTTGCTTGATACAAAGTAACAAAAGGTTATTTCTTTGCTTGATGGTGTCATTCCTCACCCCATCCCAAAGTTGGAAGGGCAGGAGACAATTTTGAAAGCCACAAGGAAAGCCACCAGACAGCTGTTGGCTCATTAATATGGTGTTGTCACAGAACTGCAGCACTGCAGTCATTGTAGAAGGAAAACTGGGGCAGGAGCCATTGGGATGCCTCCTGAGTTACATCTGCATGTTTAGACTTCTTGTTTAACCTCCCAACTGTATGCGAGAAGAAAAAAAATATTTTTTAAAAAATCACAGAATATCCAGCTTTTTGCATACATTAAAGGTTCAACATCTTTTCCAGCTAATTTTGTAATGCATGGCTCATCCTGCCATACAGTGGGGGGAAACCGCCTCCTTAAGGCTACTCAGGGAGAAAAGAAGAGCAATCAAAGGCAGAAATTTTGATGCCAGGACATGTAGCAAGATTCCTTCAAACATTAACCTAAATGTGTAAAGCAAAGAACTGTCTCTGATCATTTGGATTCTGCTCTAGGCAGAAAAATATCTTGCTCTAGCATCAAGTGGGAAAAACTGATCATTTGGATTCTGCTCTAGGCAGAAAAATATCTTGCTCTAGCATCAAGTGGGAAAAACTGATCATTTGGATTCTGCTCTAGGCAGAAAAATATCTTGCTCTAGCATCAAGTGGGAAAAACCTAACTCTTTCACCTCTCTTTCTCTTTTTCTGTCTCTGCCTTGCATGGCACAGAGGATCGTGCATAATGCTGCCTCAGCTTGCAGTCCTATCCCATTATAATTAGTGGTATTTACCCTGGTGTAAGCACACATTCTTTGGGAGCAATATGCATGTTTACTATAGTGTAAGTTCCACTTACTTCTAAATAAAAATGTATGGGAATGAATTTTTGCTTTGTTAAGCCAAGGATTTTTTAAAATCATCATCATCTTCTTCATCTTCATCTTTATCTTCATCATAGTCTAGCCTCATTTACAACAACAGAAAATGCAATATATTTGCCAGCTGGACTGTTCAGAAGTAAACTAGATGGAATTTCATGGTAATTACTTGCCCCACCAAAAAAAAAAAAAAAGAGTGTTTATGGATTTTAGGCTTTCTGAGCTTATAATATTAATTCAAAGTGGCATAGAACAAGATACTTCTGATTTACTGGTTGATGAATGCAGCTGTTTGGTTCTTTTTTTTTTTAAGTTGCAGATTAGTTATGTCTAAATTGTTCTAGGTAATTAAAATATGCCATGATTTTGAACAATGGATTGATTGTTATCCCCAAGAATATTAGTTAGTCTAATGAAGTGGAAGAATCATTTGTTTAGCAAAAGGGGTGGAACCTCAACATTATACTACATTATAGAGAACAAAATTCTAATCTTCTTTTCTTTTTTCATTAAGTAGTCTCAGTTATGTATCTCTCAACATCCATCTACCTCACTCATAACATAATGCTTATCCAACATAGTTTATTTATTTAACATCTGAAATGTAGAAGACTTTTCTTGTCTAAGTCTTTTCTAATTTCAGTGCAATTGTTTTGGTATTCAATCTCTTTTTTAAAAAATGTATTATCTGAAAGTATCACTGCCTTCTGTTTCTACCCTTCCTTCTTCAGAGTGATGTCACTGAAGGCAATATATTTGCTTTCAAATAAGTGAATTATAGTTTATTAGTAAAGGGGAATGTATGTGTGCAATTGAAACTATTTCAATGGAAAAAAAAAATCAGACATTCATTTCCAAGGATTTAATTCTCAAGAATTCTGGTATTTGTATGATCAAATCTCTCTGAATTGGGAGGCTTTGCTCACAGTCACCCATGCCTTCATGATCTCCCGTCTGGATTACTGCAATATGTCTACATGGGGCTGCCCTTGAAGAGCATTCGGAAGCTTCAACTCAGTGTTGTCCAAACTTGGCCACTTTAAGATGAGTGGACTTCAACTCCCAGAATTCCTCAGCCAGCATGGATGGCTGGGGAATTCTGGGAGTTGAAGTCCACTCATCTTAAAGTGGCCAAGTTTGGACAACACCACTTCAACTGGTCCAGAATGCAGCTGCACAGGTTGTAAATGTTGTTGGATATTTGACACATGTATCACCACTACTTCGTGAGCTCCATTGGTTGCCAGCATGTTTCCAGATGCAATTCAAGGTGCTGGTTGTCACCTTTAAAGCTCTTCATGGCTTGGGACCAGGTTACCTTCCTCCCAGTTGTTTCTATCTGTTCAATCTGGTACAGCATGATGGGCATGCTCTGGGTCCTGTCAGCCAAGGAATGTCGGCTGGCAGGGAGTAGGAGGTGTGA